GCAAATAGTAGAATGAAATTGCTTACCCTTGGCCAAAAAGCAAAAATAAAGAAAGAGGTCAGGGTCTTCCCATGACCAGGCCTCCCTGAAGGGCAGGCCTGAGAGCCTTGTGCCACGTCCCACCTCCCCAAACTGGAGACCAAGCCTTTAACCATGGGCCTTTGGAAGGTATTTAGATCCAAACTGTACCGTCAGGTAACCCCAGTTTTCTCACCTTAGAAAAGCAGTGCCGGTAGTATAATGGCTTAGAGTTGAAACAGTTAGGTCTCTTTGTCTTTCAGTTAGTTTCATTACTTAATTTTGTATGACTTTTAGTAATTTCATAGTACCAGCTAAAAACTTACTGAATATGCCAAGGCATACTCTAATCATTACTTAATAAACAGTGATTTTTTTGAACTTTTATGATCTTACTGTTTTATCATTTAAAAAAAGCTAAATAGTAATACTTAGAATAAAAATTACAAATTTTTCAAATATCTTCTTTTCCATGAAAATAAATATATTTTTTTTAACATTTTAGAAGGTAGCTTTTCAGATATTTGGGGGAATGTATTTACCAAATACATGTTATTTTTTTTTGACTGTCACAAATTATATATAAACTCTTATAGATTGATTTAATTTTGCTTTAATAATTATATCATGTCTGTACTTATTGTTGCCATTTCAAACAGTGCAGCAGTGATAATAAACATTTTTATGTACCCATAAGATTTTTATAGGTTAGATTTTAGCATATGAAATTGAATTGAACACTCTACTCCTGAACTGTCTGTCCTTTGGCTTGTACTGCAGTAGGTTCTAAGTGTCTTATGGAGAACAGTTAATACTGAATATCATCTTTTTTCATTGTTATCAAACCTAATAGGTCAAAAATACTATCATTTATAATTACAAATTTTTTACTTTTCTCCTTTTTTCTGTTGGATTTTCTTGTCAAAATAAATGAACTATTAGTTTAAAGAGAATTGATGTTTATTATTGTATTGAGTGAATTTTTTTCCATAGCATTTTTCTCTATTCTGTATTTTATTTAGCACTTCTGTAACACTGTGTGCTGGGTACTTGTGTAAATTCTTCACTAATATTAATTAATCCTCACAACAGTCCATAGTCTCAATTTTGTTGTTATCCATTTTATAGATGTGCTCATTAAAGCATAATTAGTTCAAATAGTTTGAAAAAAATCATCTGAATAGTAAATGGTAACTACAGTAGAAAGTAAACAGTCTGGCACTAGAATTGGTGATTATAACAGTTACAATACTGTTTTCTTCTTCCCATGCTCAGAATTAAACCCAGGGCCTTGAGCATGCAAAGCAAGTATTGTACACTAATTTACACCCTCAGGCTATAATGTATCTTTCTTCAAGAAAGTGCTTTATATTTACTCGGTAAAGGACATATATAATGTGTTGAATTTGTCTTATTTATTTTTTGTTTTCATGGTTTACGATATTTTTAAATTACTTTTTTTTTTTTTTGTCTTTTTGAGACAGGATCTCACTATGCAGTTCAGGCTGGCCATGAGCTCACTTTGTAACCCGGGGCTGGTCTCGAACTTGCAACATCCTCCTGCCTCAGCCTCCCAAGTGCTGGGATTACAGGTGTGTGCCACCACACCTGGCTTGTATTTTTAAAGTACTCTTTACAGTGGTTTGTAATATTTAAAAATGAAATAGATACTTGTGTCTTTCTGATCTTGTATTCAGTTGTACATATCTAAGAGACTTTGGGCTTTTCTTTATAGACAGTTATATCTTTTAGTTTTTTGAGACAGAGTTTTGCTATGTAGTCCAGGCTGGCCTTGAACTCACTATGTAGTCCAGGCTGTTCTCAAACCCATGCTAGTCCTCCTGCCTCAGCCTCTTGAGGGCTGTGATTACAGTCATGTGCCACCATGTCCAGCAGTGTGTTTATAAATTTGTTTTCACCATTTTGAGCCTCTGTTCTTTTGTTAGGGACCTTTAATTCAGTGCTGAATAGGAGTGTTGATGGTGTCATTTAACTCCTTCTCTTAAAATATGACTAAATTTGTGGTAGATACTTTTTCTCAGATTAATTGTCCTCTTTATGAGTCAAGGTTTTGTCAAAAAGTGAATGTTGTACTCTGGCAGTTTAATAAAGGAATTGCTTACAAAAGTGTTGTCAGGGCTTGAGACAATTTGCAGGAGATAAATTTTTATCATCTGTGCTTTTTGCTACTGTAACAAATACCTGCATTGATTGGCTTATAAAGAGAAAAGGTTCCTTTTGTCTTAACAATTTCAGAGGGCGCAGCCCATGGCAAGTGGATCCCATTAATTTAGGCTAAGATGGGGCAATACCTCATGGTGAGAGTGTGTGATGAAAGGTACAGAAAAAGAAAGAGAAAAAGACCAGCGTCCCTTAATCCGCTTTAGGAGACCCACAGTAAGCTTAGACCTCCTAGTAGGTTGTAACTCTTTCCATTAGCTCTGAACTAGATAACAAGCATTTACACGTGGCCCTTGAGTTTCAAACTAGCATTCTGCCCTTAGCTCCCAAAGGCTCATGTCCTTCTTAGAGTGTAAAATGATTTAGTCCATCTCTTAAGAGTCCCCCCAAAAATCTTTTAACTGTTTCACTTTTGCTTAAACAGTTCAAGTCTGTTCTGAGACTCACAAGAAACTGAGACACTATAAAAGAAAAAAATTGCACACTTCTAAGATACAGTAACAGAGAATAAATATATTCCAAGAGAGATATGAGCAAATTGATAAGAGGGTCAGATCAAAGAAAGACTGACACCTACATTAAATCCTGTGTCTGATTGCCCTGGGGCACGCTGTGGCAGGAAATGGACACGCAGGGTCCTGGACAGCCTTGTCCCTGAGGCCTCATTACTACAAATTTGGCTAAGAATGACCACTAATACCCATGCTGTGGCCTGAGTGTTTTGCTAACTTGAAATGTCTTCTGCCAGATGAATGGGGTCCATACCGTTAAGATTAGCCTACTCTAAGGGCATAAATATAATGCAGCCCCCCGCCTGCTTTGGTCATGACGTAGAAGGGTGGTCTTTAGTCCAATTTGCAGGGTGTCTTCATTACTTCTCTAACTTCATCACCATTCCCTGTGCTCCTTGTATTTCAGTCAGCATTCTGGTCTGCTGAGCTTCTGCCAGATCCTTCTATTAAGTCCTACTTAAAACATTCTTGATTTTTTTGTTTTGTTTTTGTGAGGTTTTTTTGGATAGTTGGCTCCTTCAAGTCTTTCCCACACTTCTTCAGTTAACCAGTTCTAAAGGTATTTCTATGTTGATTTATTTATAATCACAACAACCCCATTTCTCATTACCAGATTTCTGTGTTAGCTTTCTATAACTATAACAAAGTATTTAGATAATCAATTTAAAGAAGAAAGGTTTTTGGCCCATAGTTTGAGGTTTCAGTGCATGGTCAGCTGACTTAGCAAGTCAGCAGGAGTGTGTGGCAGAGGAGATTGGTTCGCCTTATGACCAGGTGCAGAAAATGAGAGAAAGGGAGATCAGTCGACCACACTCCTCTTCACAGATGTACCCCTAGTGATCTAGGACCTCTCACTAGAGCCGACCCGAGTTTCTACCACCTCTCAGCAGCACCAACCTAGAGACCAAACTTTTAGCACATGAGCTAGGGATTACATGGGAGCATCTGACAGCATCTCTAGGCCTGAAGAGGCAAGGAGTACACAGTTACTGCAGCCCCTGGGGGAAGGCAAGTTTGTGATTAGACAGAACCTAGTAGGGAGGGAACTGGAGGAGTGAGTGGATTAGCCTCAGGTCTCCTCCTGCGCTTTGTTTTTTGCAGACCTCTCAGCTGCAAGAGGGCATAGGGCACTGGGTGCAGCTGATTCAAGCCAGTCTCTTGGTGGAGGTTGTGGCCATGGTAGGGGGACACAGGCAGGAAAATACATAGAATCTTTTCTGTTTTCTTTCAAGAATCAATTTAAAACACAAATGGGTAGGTATTTAATATTTTTTAGCTATCTTTTCTGTTTCTATTGAAATGATTGTGAGTTTTCATTGTTAATGTGATAATTTATAATTTCCAAAATAAAAACAGTTTGAATGTGTCTTTGTGCTTTTAGATTTTGCTTACTTAGTTTTTAAGCTTTTTTTCATCTGTTAGTGTGAGACTGAACTATTTTCTTCATATAGTGTCCATATCTACTTTTGATACTAAGTGTCTTTGGGTTCATAGAATGTGACAGAGTTTATCCTTATTTATTTTGTTGAATAATTGGTATTAGATAAGGGCACTGTTCCTGGAAGGCTCAATAGGATTTACCTATTAAAACTTGCTAAAGGCTAGGGATTTAGCTCAGTGGCATAAGCGCCTGCCTTGCAAGTGCACGGTCATGAGTTCTATCCCCAGTACCAAAAAAAAATCTGGTAAAGAGTGAAATTGAAAAAGCACAGATTATATAGAATAAAAAGAAATTGAGATGAATTCAAACGTAGACACTTAAATTCTCTCTCCCCCTGCGGTGTGGCGAGAAGTTAATTGAACCTTTTGTGGTCAGATTTCATTTGCTTGTCTGTGGACAAAAATTATTTTACACTTGCTATCAGTTATCTCTAATTTACATAGTTATAAAATAATTCAAGGATAGTGAAAGTGTAAAATTAGATTATCAACTAGAATAGGCTGTAAATAATACGTAATTTTCTTTTTTGTCTTCTTGAGAGAGGGTTTCACTATGTAGTTCAAGCTGGTCTTAAACTTACTTTGCAGCTCTAGCTGGCCTGGTGGCCCTCCTGTCTCAGTCTCCCAACTGCTGGGACCATAGGTGTGCACCACCATGCCTGGTAGTAGTACATAGTTTTTGTTGTAGACATACAGTAATCTTTTTGCTTATTCTGAATTTACTTCCAGTTGGAATATCTACCAGATAAATTATGATTTGGTATTATTGTGTTTTATTTGAGAAATATATAGAGCAGTTTGAAAGCATTATAAAATAATAACAATTGTTATTACTTCTCTTTGATTCAGGTTTATGCTGCTGATTGTAGTGACGGTATTCTTCTAGAGCTACGGAAATATTTGCCAAAATATTATGGTGTCTGGTCACCTCCCACTGCACCAAATGGTAACATTTTCTTAAAAATACATCTTTTAGTTTTAATGTATAATTGCTTTCTGAAAGGCATTATAAAAACAGTATATAATATGAAACATGAAATATGTTTTTATTTCTAGCCCTTTTCTACTAGCTATTCTTATTAATACTCTTGCTTTTTTGTAACAATTTTATTAAATGGTATATATAAGTGAGTAATTTCTTACCACTGAATAAAGTGTTTATGATAGTATATAGAACTAGTGTTCTATAGTAGTACACAGTACTAATACTTAGTGTGTAAATTTAATGTTCTTTCCTAAGTTATTGTATAATTTCTTTTCCTATTTTGAGTAATAAAAACATACCAAAACTGTTTTACATAATTTCTGGTGTCTCCCCACCTCTTTATTTCCTGCCTGCAGGCCTTAAATTGTAATCTTTTGAAAAGCACAGGGAAGTTTCATAGATGACAAAATGATGTATATTAAAGAAAAATTATTTTCCTCAACATTGGTTGGTTGGTTAAGCAGTATATTGCCTCTTGAAAGCTTTTTCCAGAGTAGTCAGACTTTAAATAAGCAGCCTGCTTGATTATTGACAAAGGTGAATGGTGAAAGAAGGGGCTTCTGACCTGAGTGTGTTTATGTGTAACCTATAGTCTGGTTAAAACACAAATGTATGCAGGTCTGTGTTAGAGACTGATGATAAGTGATTTTCTGATGTCAACTAAATCTCATTTTGAGAATAGAAAAGGATCCTAGTTTGAGCTTGTTCCTTTCTTCTTGTTTGCCTTTGACTGTTTGAATCAGTGTGCCGATTTCATTAGTAGGGACTTGGGGCATCGCCCTGTGTGTATCTTCATAGTAAGTTGATGGCAGCTTCAGATAGTTAGGATTCTTCTCTTTGTCTCCAAATATGAAAGCTAAGCCTCTACTAGTTTCATGTTTAGTGTCTCTTATCCAAAATGCTGGTGATCAGAAGTGTTTCAGGTCAGGACTTTTTCAGATTTTGGAGTATTTGCATATACATAATGAGATTATCTTAGACTTAAAGCCAGATGTAATGAAACTCACTCATATTTTATATATACTCTATAGCATAAAGATAATTTTATACATTATTTGTAGTGCACCTGAATTTGTCTGTGATCTGACCCTTGAAGTCATGTGTGAAGTTTTCCATTGTAATGTCAATGTGGATGCTCAAAAGGTTTCAAGTTTGGTGGCATGGTACATTTCATTTCAGATTTTTGGATTAGGCACGTTGAATCTCTATTCCTTTTATTTATTTAAGTTTTTTTTTTTTGGAGCAGAATATATTTATTGAAAGAAAGAGTGCTTCTGAGAGAGAGAGAGAGAGAGAGAGAGAGAGAGAGAGAGAGAGAGAGGAGAGAAAAGGTCCTGAGTAGATTACCCTCTTTCCTTTTACTAAAGATCTTTCAGTTCTAAGTCTATATATGTACCTATGTATATTCAGATCAGCATGTTGCTTTTAAATTAACTTCACAAATGAAATACTTAGCTGCTACTTTGGTTATTTACATGTTTTGTTAACTTCACTGAGTAATCTTTTTGAGTTTAGTACTATATAAATTTGCATATATTCTGCCTATTATATAAAATATCTTGTGAATTCTCTTTTAGTTGAGTCTAACTAGAAATATTGGTGCTATTAAGATGAGAAGATGAACTGAGAGAAATAGAAAAGAGGAAAACATTTAAGTGGCAAATAAAGGATAGGGGTCCAATAATACTAACAATTACCTCAAGGTGTGTTTCTGTCTTTTCCTGCTTTATTTTCTCTGGAAGAAGTGGACAAAATTGTACCATGCAGATTGGTTAAGTTTGATTTTGCTACATGTGTCATGGGATCATCTTTCTGTTCTTACTGTTTTGATTGTAAATAAATATAAGATGGCAAACATATATAAATGTTTAGGTGAAAAACCATGAAAATAGATATTTTATTAAATTTTAGTAGATTACTATGATTTGCATCACTGTGCTTCATGTGGTGTGAAATACATTATTTCCTATTTTTGTTTTTAGGCATCTTGCGTGCTCATGAAAGAGTTTAGAAAAATATAAGTCAAAATAGTAAAATATTGAAAGTAGTAAAACACATAAAGCTAACTTGCTCAGCAAAGTTATTCTATAATAGTGTCTTTACCAGTATAGATTTTTCTTTATGACAGCTTGAAATATAATTTACATACCATAAAACACACCCATTAGAAAAGCCTGTAACCCAGTGATTTTAGTATATTCAGAGTTGTACACTGATCACCATTATTTAATTTCAGAATGTGACCAGTAGGTTTACTATTAACATTTTGAGGAATTACATTCAAATATATATGTAATAAGTTGTTTATAATGCTTGTGTAAACATGTAGGAGCCCTACCTGTAATGTCAAGAACCTTTAGATATTTTCATTTGGAGGTGTAGAAAACTATTAACAATCAAGTAAATTGAACAGATTGAGAGCTATCAAATGCAATGTAATCTCTGCCCTGGTGGCTAGGTTTTTGGATCTAGTTACTAATCAAGTTTCAAGAAGCAGGTACTAGAACAAACTGACATTTACGTATTTTCCCTCCCCCTCCCTTTACTCACTTCGTGGGCTCACATCTCTACTTACAGTTTTTTTCTTTTTTCAACTTTTGTTCTCAGAAATGATTAATGACTGCTATAGAAAGCAAGGTTTTCTCTCTTTTGCATTTGGCTTGATATTGGGGCATTTGTTGCCCGTCTGGCCTTGCCTCTTTTGTTGGGAGGTTTAGAAGTGAAGACTGTAGCAAATAGTACATTTTACAGACACAGTGATCAAAAAAACTTAGTAACACTTGGAACCGATGTTTTCATGATTTACGGAATCACTGATATTCATTAGGAGGTTCTAAATAAGTTATCTTGCAGTTCCTTAAATGACTTCCCCCATTGTATTTTGAAAAGCTATTTTATCTTTACTGTTTATCTATTCACTGTTTGGTTTTTTCCCTTCTGTAGTTTAAATATTTCTTTTTTTCCACTTTTGAATCTGGAAAATTTTCTCTTTCATAAAGTGTCAAGTCTGTTCTGTAAACAGAAAATCTGCTATAGGAATTTTTTATACATAATACATTACAAAGCCTTATATTTAAGATATAATCATATAATAAAGACAGATTTTCTTCATTTAGAGTAACCTTGTATAATTTTATACTATCACCAACATCATGAAAGTATATAAATATTTTGAGCATGTTAATGGTTTCATGAATAAAAGTTATTGAGAAATCTTACTAGTCTTTTAATAGCATGAAGTGTTATATTTTGAAATACAGGACCTGGTAGTTATTTTTGTGATCTTTCTCTTAAAAAATCTTTAAAGAAAAATAATAGAAATTGTACACATAGTTTTTCAGTGAATTAATGGGAAAGTGTTAGAATATTTACCATAACCTCTTTAACTATACTTCTAATTACTGTGACTTCTTTTTGTTTTGTTTTGGGTACCGAGGATTGAACTTGTGACCTCGCATTTGCCAGGCAAGCCCTGTGCTGCTTGAAATAAACACCACATATTTATGAATAGCTGATGACTTTTATTTATTATGCAAATACCTATTAGCACCAAACTTTAGAGACTACCTCTTTTGGATCTGGGCTTATAAACACCAGGCCTAGAATCTGGGAAAGACTGACTTGTAAGTTGGTTTACAAGAGAGTTTCCAAAGTTTAAAAAAGTAAACCCAGTCAGTTGTGCTATCTTTATTATTTATATATACATGACCAGATATGTAAAAGTAGCTGTTTTTAATATTCAAAGTGCTATATTTGCATACCACATCTTAGAATGTAATATCATGCTTTCTAAGCATCATATTAATGTAATTTATATTTTTGACCTTAGTTACAGTGAACCTAAACTATTAGAGATGGAGCATATATATCTTATTTTTAGTCCATTTTTGTATGCATTTAAAAATACATTTTATTTTTGTTATTTTGCATCATTAAAATAGCTTTTAAAACTTATGTGCTGCAATAATCCTTATCATCTGTTATTTTAACTAACTTTTCAGAGTTAAAAAAAAACAGCTGGGTGTATTTGAGGAAAGAAGTAAGAAGTAGTGATCTCAGGATGGACAAGAGTTGATTTGGGGAATACAGTATGATAGTTGAGCTACTGTAAGGCCTGCTTGAAGTTAGTACCAGATTGAGTATGAATATGAGTCAAGATAACATATTTTTTGACTTGAGATAAAAATCGATATATAATAGATATTTTTAATGTTTAGCTGATACTAGCCTCAGGGTTGCAAAAAAATCCATTATCAAACGCCTAATTGTGACTCTTGTCTTTTTATTTTGTGGTTATCGTTCCTGCAAAGGTAGACTCCAGAGAATCGTCTTACAGTTTTTTATTTATCCTGAATATTGAGCTCCAACTGGGACCCATTGGTAACCTAACATGATTGGCAGATTTTAGTGTTTATTCATCATATGTGTATTTAATATTTAATGTATACTTAATGGTTAAGAAATGAGTTCCAAACAATGCAGCTCGATGAAGGCTTGATGAAGGCCAGAGAAGTGCCTTACACAGTAATTAGGTACTGAATGCCTAGGATTTCATTTTGGGCAGAGTAGAGGACTATTTTAACCTCCATTTATGGAACTAGTACTGACACTGTACTAAGCCCTTTGCATTGTAGTGTCTCATTTAGTCTTCATGTTAACCCTTCAGTAGTTTCTATAATTATCTCTATTTTACATATAAATGAGGCATATAAAAATACTAGTGACCTGACTAACAAATGGTGGAGCTGAGAACTGAACTTTTTTCCTCAGCTTTCAACACAAGAGTTTTTAAACTCTTACTATTTTGGTTAAGATTCTTTGGGTGCAAGTTATAGTGACAGACCTGTGCTTCATTAATCAGAAAGGAAGACTTTATTAGTATAAGGATACAGGAATGTCTTATAAGATCACTTGAGTCCAAGATAAGATCGGAACTAGAAGCCAAACCCTATCAAGAGTCCAAAGATATAACTTTCTATATATTTATTATATATCTATATGTTTATTAACCCTTCCTGCCTTTATGTGCTAGTCCCACCAAAGAAATCTTGCTTTTCATGAAGGGTTTTATATGTTATGGGATATGTTAGTGACCCAGACCCAGGTTATATGTGAGTCTCAGTTCTAAATGATGACTGGCCACGTTTGTACTGGATGCCAGCTTTAGTGACTGACCAAGACAGACGAGATTTCATAGTATGACAGTAACTAAAAGGAAGCAGCTTCGAGGCTCTGGATGGCTCTTTAGCTGGGTAGACAGTAACATTCTCTCTAATCAAGTTTTTTTAAAAACAACTTTGTCTACGATATGAAGCACGTTTTTACATTGACGCTCAGTGTGAGTAAGATTGAGACAGCCCTCCAACAGTGCTCAATCTTGTATTTTCTCTCTTCAAAAAAATTTTGGTTATTGCCCCTTGAGTTGAATCCATAGTCTACTTGTGACTTAAAAATGGAAAAGTACTGCTTTATTCTAACCCTAGAGGGGCCTATCTGAAAAGGTGTTTGTTATCCAGTCTGGCATTTCCTTATGAGGCTGTCTTATAGTAAAATGTCTTTGATCATTTAAATGAATGAATCTCAAGATTGGCCTACTTTAAAGTAAGCTTTATTATATGAAAAGAACTGTAGCATTCTCAGAGTGAATTAATATTCAGATTTAAATACAGATGACGACCTATAACGAAGATCAGTAACAATCATAATGTTCAGATCATGCCTCATTTTCCTGTATGCTTTTTTCAAAAGTACTTGTGACAAGCTGGTAGATGCACAACATTAATTCTCTGTATCTCTAAAACAGATTTGGTGGTTTTTGTAACTTAGAAGAAAGGATTCAAATGAGAATCTCAAATTCTTAATTTTCACTTAAAATTCAAATCGTATTCAAACTCCAAGAACAACAATCCTTACAAGGCCATAATTTATTATTTTACTTCTGAAAACTGATAAATAGGAATTATTTAGAAACTCCAGTTATATAAAACATATTAGAAAACCTGATAGTAAAACAAAGAAAAACAAATTTGACTAGTCAGAATAAATGTAAAGCTTTCATTTTTACAAAACCATGATACTTAGTCTTACTTACTATAGAAATGACTCAGTTTATTACAGTGTAAGCAAGGCCAAGTCCAAAGTTTCACTGTGGCAGCAGGAATGGGAAGGACAACCATTTATTCAGCAAATGTTTATTATATTCCTACCATAAATAGAATTTGCATTTGTGATTTCCTCCTCTTCAAGAGGGAAAAGGAGAAAGCGAAATGTTATATTCAACTTTAGCTTATGGCATATCATAAAGAAGCATTTTATTGTGTTTTAATCACTACCAACTTGACAGATGGAAAATAACTTTACACTGAGATATAACAGTGGGTTCTTGACTGTCTTTATACTTTTATACATCTTCATCTGAATAGGAATTTTAGAGTCTTGTTTTTTAATTAATGATAGTTTGTGAATGACAAGTATCCACTGTGTTTGATCTCCAGTCTTTTTTTGGTACTTGGAATACAGGTCTTGTTGCTGAAATTCCTGTACAGCTATAGAAGAATATGGATGTTTCCTTTTTGCTCATGTTGATTGGAGATGGTGGAGAATCTAGAGGGAACTGTCCTGTGCTGCTGCTTCTCATCCTGTGGTTGTTTTCTAAGGCACAGACTGGATGGGTTCTAGCTCCTTTATCAGAGTGTTGCCACTTATCTCATTACCTTGTATTGTCTGCCATGTTCTGTCTGTGCTTAGACATTTTGTGTTCTTTTATTCTCTTGATGATGTCTGTCAGAAGCATGAAGAGGTCCTTCTTATAAGTCAGTACTGGTCTTGGACTGCACTTCATTTGTTGTCATATTTGGGCTCACCATCTGCATAGTCAAAACCCTCCTCTACCTATAAGGGTTAAAACTTAGCTTTTTATCTCAGATCCTTTGAAAGAAGAGATTTATGCCTCTTATATCTGAGGCCCTTAAAACTTCACAGGTCATAATTTCATTCAGAACTTTAAGATTATTTTACTCATGAAAGGGGAGAATTTCTTTTCTTCCCTCATTGCACTTGGATCCCTGCTTTCAAGCTCAAACTGTAAGAAGTTCATCTGTAGGATAATCAGGGCTTTTATAACATTGTATGTGAATCTCAATTTAAGTTTTCTGTGGGAAGATGTATGCAGAAAACCAAATGTTTGGGAAGTCCCCTGTGTTCTTAAAAGCAAGGTATTTGTTTTCTCTTTGAAACTAGTAAGACCAGAATATATATATTTGATAATGATAATCATTTAGATTGATTTATCATATCTTAACCTGTACTTCTGTTATATTATATGCTCTGTGAGAGAGACTTATTCCTGTTTATAATTTTAAATAAAGAGTAAGCTTTTAAAATACTTAGATTTCTTATTGAGGCATTGATGGCATAAGTTATATTCACATGAGGATGAATGTAATAGTTTTTGAAATAAGTGCATTTGTTTCCTTTTTAATGCCCATAGAAACTTTATACCTACTTTCTACCTTTTGTTTATGGTTGAATATGTTTAACTTACATCTTACAAGTTCCTCTGTAATATTTATACTTGTTATGAATTTGTTGCTCTTTTTTATGGTAGTTAATAATTGTTGACTCTAGATTTATTGTAATTTTTCTGTTTAAAGATAGCCTCATTTTGTTTTGCCCTGGCAGTTACTTGAGTAGTAATATATTTGGTTTTCACTAATTAAGATTTTTCTTCAATAACAGATTTATACCTAAAACTGGAAGATGTGACCCATAAATTTAATAGGCCTTGTATAATGGATGTAAAGATAGGGCGAAAAAGCTATGATCCTTTTGCCTCATCTGAGAAGATTCAGCAACAGGTCAGCAAGTACCCATTAATGGAAGAGATTGGATTCTTGGTGCTTGGCATGAGGGTAAGAGTGATTATCAGAATAATATACACATTTTTCTTTAAACGTTCTTCCCTTGAAAATTATGCATATGTTAGTATGAGTATATAAGGAGATAGTGTGTTTTAGAATTTATAATTCTTCAGTTTATAAACTTTATGAGGATGGGGATTTTTATGTCTTGTTCTCTAATAGGAGTATATCTTATCAGTGTCTAATTCTGGTGCATACTAGGGACTAATAAATGTATGACTGAATCTTAAGACTACAACTCTGGTAATTTTGTTTTGTTTTAAAGCAGCTTTAAATTCAAATGCAAAATAAGTATTAAAAGTAAAAACTATTATGATTTTCCCATAAGAAAAGTACCATTCATATATATTCAGTAATTTTTAAAATAGAAAACAAAAATTAATATATAGGTCATTGTTTTAAAATTTGTGATTTAAAACAATTTTTATGTGCTTACAAGTCTATGATTGGCATTTAATTTTTTTTAATTTTTAATGTGTACAAGTTTTGCATGTAAGTATACATTGTATAATGTTTATACCAGTGTAAACATATTTATCTCCTCAAACATTGTTTCTTTGTGGTGATCAAAATCTTTATTCTAGCTCTTTTGGAATATATATAGCATATTATCATTATGTGTGTTTACCCCACTGTACTTCTTTTATTTGTCTGCCTGCCTATCTATCCATCTATAACTTACTACTCGTTGGTAAGCCTTTAGATTGACAGTTTGAGCTGGCTCACGTAGTTCTTCCCGTAATCACACCCAGAATCTTTCGTGTGGCTGCAGTTACCTGAAGATTTGAAAGGGGCTTGCTGGCCCAGACTGTCTGGTAGTTGGTACTGACTGGCAGAGCTTTTTGTCCTTGTGGTGTTGAATTCTAGCTCAAGCTTTTTCATGTCACAGCACTGTATTCTGAGAGGCATAAGTAGGAGCGGCAAGCATGCTTGAACTGTTGGTTAGGAAGTTACTGGCCGTCATTTTGTGAATTCAGTGGTCTGTCACAGGGTCAGCCTGGATTGATAGGGCTGGGAAACAGGCTTCTCTTCTGATGGTGGACAAAGCGAAGTCACAGGAGAGTGACTGTGCACGCAAGGATGGGAAGGAAGAATGGTTAAGGCCATTTTACAGGCGGTGCCAAGGTCTCGATACATTGTGGGGGAAGAAAATCTCCTGTAAAGAAATGGTGTCTTTACCTGGGTAAGCGTAGTGGGTGGCCTTGAAATTCATCCTGTTACACAATATGGAATCTTGCTTTAGAGTTTTTAAATAGGGGAACCAATAGGAAATATTATAGATGATTATTATTGTGCTAATAACACATTATGATTATCAAGTTGAATTTGATATTTTAATTCTGATAAAACCAGAGAAATTGTTCCAGCAGTCATTCCATTTTAGAAAACTATAATTAAATGTGGGTATATAAGAAAGGGGAAAGGAGTAAAGATTGATTATAAAACAAGCAACAGGGATCCCACAGAAAACGGCTATTTCAGCCCCCACTGTTTACAGATCTCTGACTCTCACATTCCTTCTCACTTTCAGCAGATGGCTTTGCCTTCCACTTCAGAAAAAATAAAAACCATTAGACAAGGTTTGCCTTAATTTCCTGCCAACAGATACAGCACAGACCTTGCCTCTCCTGGCTGCGTGGGAGAATGTTCAGTCCTTTTGTCTAAACGTAGCCCTTTCCTTTGTCCTCTGGATCTGTGTTACTAAACAGCCGTATTAATTCTGTCTTGTCATTCCTGCTACCTTCAACTTCTACCTATATATTGACATTCTTGCTCATTTTTAAAAAAACAAAAAGGATCAACTCCTTCCTCCCCCCGCCACTATTCTGCTGTGCTCTTCAGCTGTAGATTTAACTGGTCTCCCATTCAGAACTAGACCATTTTCATTCCCTTATTTTCCGTTCAGAATTCAGCCCATTCCAGTCTGTTTTCTGTCCCATCATGCTACCAGATTGGTTCTTTTCTGTGGTCTTTAATGACACCTACATGTCACTTAAGTCCAAGTAGCATTTTTTATATTCATCAAATTTTACTTTGAAAAACCTCTACACTGACCAGATCTTTCTTGAGACAATTTTTCTTGTGTCTGTGACTTCCCACCACCCACCCTGCTTTTTTCCTAAGGATATTTTACAATCTTTACTAGCTCATTTCTTTCTGTTCATTCTTAAAATGTTACTTTTTGGTTCCATTTTAATGCTGCTTCTCTTTTCTATTTCTTCCTATTTTGTGTTTCTGTTCTCATTGGTTTACTGTCTGTGACACAGTTTCCAAGTGTGTGTGTTCATCCTCTGCCTTTTCTTTGATCTTCTGAACTGTGTATTTCAGTCTGTTAGACATTGTATTTTAGTGATCTTCAAAAACATCTTGAAAGCAGTCCAGGCAAAATGGATACATCCGTTTCACAAAGCAGTAATCTTGGTACTCACATGGAATCTCTTTTATTCCCTATCTCTGTAAATGGTATTATCATACATCCAGTTTTGCAAAGTAGAAACCTGTTGCCACTGTTCCCTCTCAGAGCTGTCATCTGTTTTATTGATCTTGATTTCTGAACATTTGGGTCTCATTTTCACTGTTACCTTGTTAGACTTTTTTCACTTGTGTTCAGTTTGGTCTTTTGTAGTCTATTACAAATACTGGAAAATATATATCTAATCATGATATTCACTTATTTAAAAGCTCTTCAGTGGGTTTCCATTGCTTTTAGGATACATATTAGGATAAGAAAGGCACTGCATGATTTAGCTCTGCTGGGATGTGTTTCTTCCCTAGAAAAACAGAAATTTGTTTTTATTTCAAATATCTTTACTGAGACATAATTTACTTACCATTCACTTCACTCATAATACAGTTAAGGGTTGAGAGTATACAGCATTGCAGGAGTAGTTACCCAGTATGTACAAGGCCCAGGTTAAGCCTCATTGCCACCCCACATACTCACATGAGGCGGCCAAGGTAGATGATAAGAAACAGTTCACTCTGATATCAATGGATTCTACATCCATGGATTTAGCCAACTGTGACTCATTCCTATTGGCTTGAACCACTTCTGATACTGTTTAGGTGCCTTATACCACTTCCCAGAATTTCATTGAATACAATAATGGAAATAAAGGGATTGTTTAGCAGGCCAGAGGTCATCATATTATGCTTCCTTAACACAGCTGATTTGTGGCTCTAAATGTATATTATATGTACCAGCAATGGGTACTTTCCATGTTAAAATTTAGGGAATTAATTACTGATAAAATATTTATAAATACAAATAGATTTCTTTTAATGAAATAAATTTGTTGATTATAATATTTTTAAAAATCTGTATGAATAGTATTTATATTTGACCAGTAATGATTCAGATTCAAGTAACTAACTAGATTTAATTCCTTCATAGGCCGTTTATTTTATTAGTAAGACTAATAAAAGTGATTAGATCTGTTTGTACCCCAGTGGTATACATTCCCTGATGGGACAATATGCATGTACCATTGGTGGTTTAGGCTCTCAGGAATGTGTTGGAGATACTGAAAAGTATTAATGTTAGGTCTTCTTCAAGTTCTTACAGAATTCAGCAGTTAATATATTGGGTCCTGGAATTTTATTAGTTTTGTGAGGTTTTTTGTATTATTACTTTAGTTTCATTCCATGTTACAGAAATATTCAGGGGTTTTATATGTTTTGCCTTTTTTTTTTTGGTCTCTATGGAGTCCACGCTGGCCTCAAACTCAAGGCAATCTTCCTGCCTCAACCTCCCCACTGCTGGGCTTATACAGGCACGTGCCACTACACACAACCTTTTATATCTTTTTGGTTCAGTTTTAATAATTTATGTACAGTATGTGTAAAAATACATTCGTTTATTCAGAATTTTCCACTTTTTTGAACATAGGTTTTTTTGTTTTGTTTTTGGTACTGGGTATGGAACTCTCAACTGCGCACTTGCCAGGCAGGTGCTTAAACCATTGAGCTGAATTCCGAACCAAGTACAGGTTTTTGAAGTAGTTACTATAATCTGGATTTTGGTGAAGTCTATTGTGACTGCCTTTTTCATTTCTAGTTGCATTGATTTGTGTCTTTGATTTTGTTTGTGGCAAGACGACTAAAAGTTTGCCCTTCTTATTTTAAAGAACCACCTATTCAATTCACTGATACTTTTTTTTAATTCTTTCACTAATTTGTATTTTTTTGTTGTTTCTTTTAATTTCTGCTCTGATATTTATAGTTTCCTTCCTTTTACTAGTTTTGAATTTGTATTGTTCTTGTTTTTCTAAAACCTTGAGGTGCATCATTAGGTTAATTTTTATTTTATCTTAAAGAGGATAAAACCAAGGATAATAAAACAGAATAAAACCAATCAAAACAAACCTGTATGATACAGGACTTCAAAACGTTATGAAATCAACAATAGTTACAGTAACGCATTTTGTTGTCTTCAAAATATCTGCAGATACCTTCAGATATAGTAAAAGTCAAGCAGAACAGAATAGAATGCAAAGAATAAAAACAAAACAGTGCAGTGAAGGACTTCAAAGTAAGCCAATAGTAAATCTGAAAGTGTTACCGTAATATATCTAGTTGTCTTTCAAATAGCTGCTCATGCCATCGGATTTAATGTAATCAAACAAAACAAAAGAGAATAAAACCCAACCCAACAAAACAATGAAAATTATATAGGACTTCAAAACAAGACCATAAGGAATCAACAGTGGCTACAACCCTCAGAAGGAGATCCACCCACTCCCCCGCGGATACCATACTGCCTACTGCTATCCTCTGAACAGATGATTAGACCACTGACCCTAGACCTGCAAGGTCAGTGAAACATCAAAGCACTGCAGGCATCCAATTACATTTCACCTCAATAGCTATCATCACAGCCTGTGTTTCTCCAGATGAGCTGGTCACTTACCAGGGAGCAGGGGGAGATAGTGCTTCTTGTTTGCCAGCCCATGCGCTGGAAAGAGCTGGGGTCTAGCTGTTCCCAGTTGGGC